ATATATATATTGTGGAAGGGAAGTAGCTTTGGCCTTCAGCGATTAACTATTCAGAATGCTGGTAGATTTTTAAAACTTGCTTTGAGTAGATGAAGGCTAAAGTTTTGCCTACTCTTCCAGAGACAGAGAGGAAGAGAGAATAATTGCATGATTTGGGGGGCTATAAGGTTGGGGGGGTGGGAAATTTGGCTTCTGCAAGATTTTGGGAACAAAACAACTTCAAGTGGTACAGGGACACAGCATTAAATGACATTGTCTTAGTATTGGAAAATTACTCCTTTTTCAGTCTTATTCATTTATTTTGGTACCAGGGATTGAACTCGGGAACTTGCCCTTACAAGATAGGTGGTGGAAACACTGAGCTAAATCCCTGGCCCAGTCTTTTTTATTTTATCAGGGGGGCTTGTCTTTAGTTTGGGGTAGTGATTTTTAGTACCTCTCTCATTCTTCAGTGGGCAAAAAGAGCACTCAGCTAGAATTTAGTAACATTTTGTGTTCACAAACCTATTACAGTGGATTTACTTCTACTTAATGCACGTGATACTCGGTTTTTTGTTTAAACAGTTATAGTTGCTTTTTGCAAATAAATTGATTCAAGGAAAAATGTTTTACATGAATCAATTTAAAGGTAAGAGTTAATTGAACAAGTTCAACTTCAATGATTCTCAAGTTTGGAAAACATTTAGCTATACATATTGTCATGTGGCCTTGCTACTAAACTGCAAAACCCTTGTGGTACCCCATTTTGTGGCCTTACAGATAAGTCTGAAGGATGAGGCCACTTACCTTCCCAATTGAAAAGGTCTTGGTAAGGTCAGTATTGGTGGCCCTGCTTCTCTGTGGGTTAAGTGATCATAATGATCCTGCTCTGCATCAGTTTTCATTCTCAGCTCTGTTCCAAAAGTTAACTGCGCTGGGGTATAGTAGTAGTATGGTGTGCTACTTGTTGTTTAAACTGTACTAGCGTACTGTCCAGGAAGGTATTCATCTTTATTTTGTAATTGTTGGTTTCACTCCAATAAGGGTGAACACTGATTAGGTAGACGTCAAACTCATACAGTTCT